CGCAGGAGCCGTTGGTGCGCGCGCAAAGGCGGTCGAAGGACAGCCCTGCTGCCTGGATGCCGCGCACGGCCCGGTCCAGCGCCAGCAGCTCGGCGAAAGCCACCCGCGTCAGCAGCGAGTCGCCGTCGCGGACCGCCACGGCGATGAAGGACGCGAAGGAGCCGTCGGTGCTCAGGCTCTGCGCAGAAAAGCGACGGGCGTCGTCGGTCGGGAAGTGCGCCTGCACGAAGCGCCGCTCCTTCTTGGCCGGGCCCCGCGTAGGCGTGAATTGCCTCTCGAGGTCGGTATCGTTATGAAGGGGCAGGAAGACGAAGCCGGTTGCCAGGGCGCCCGAAAGCAGCAAAGGCACCAGGAGGAAAGGCCACGGGCGGGAGCCCACGGAGGCACCCAGGCCACGGAACGCACGTAACAAGGGGCCCCACACGCGGTCGGTGTGGAAGCCTCGAGGCGGCATCTTCGCCTCTCCTCCCCGGCGCGTTTCTGGGCTTCTCCCGAAGCTTCCCTTCTCTTTCTTGCGAGGGGGCGCTCTCCGTTGCCTAGCGACCGTTCTTCGCTTGGACGCCTGCCAGGTGGCGCGCGCGCTCACTCCCTGGGCGCTATTTTTTTCTCCCCTTCGCGTGGCTCCGTCCCCGCCGACCGTAAAGGTCGCTATCCTTTTGTGCCGCATCGGGCCCCTCGCCTCTCGGGCTTGTCCGCGTCCTGATCCACTATGAGATGCGAGGGTTCCCCCTTCCTCGGTAGGCGAGGAAGGAGAACCCTGAGGTTGCCACCTCGGATGAGGCTTCGCGGTCTCGCCCTTGCTCGCCCTGAAGTTTTCATGGGCCAAAATAAATAGACCTGCCTGCCGGAGGAAAATGTCTTTCTTCTGCCATACAGCAGACTTTTGGCAAACGAGGGTGGAGTGAAAAAGTGTAAAGTTTCTTTCCTCTCTCTTTTAAAATGCAGTTGGCATTTAACCTTTCCTCAGTTTCCCCCAAGTGATAGTAAAACCAGGGAAGAGAAAAATTACCAAAAGACCCACACAAGACCACTCCAAACAAGCCCCCCCCCAGTGCAGCAATTTCAAATGTGGGGCCCACAGATTTGGAAGCTGTGGCAGGGCTTCCCATCCCCGCAGGCAGAAGCCTCCATGTTGGCCTGCTTTCCTCCTAACCATGTGGCATTAGGATGAAATTGTAGGTTTCAAAAGGTAGAGATTCCCAAGATTTTGTCTGAAGATAGAAGTCAAATGCTGCCTTGATTCTCTTTGGGAAAGGAAAACTCTGGCAGACTTTCATGATTCCATTATTATACCCTACAACAATAAAGTGGCTTTCCTGGAAATCTTGCAGAGTCTGTTTCCTGATCTGGCCTGCCTTGAAGGGCTGACAGGTAGGCTGTGGAAGCGGCAACTTCTAGACTCCTCCCAACTCAAAGACAGGAAGAAAGCACATCAGCATGGCTGTAAGAAAGAACCCAATGAATATTCTAAAACCATTCATTCATTCATTCATTCATTCATTCATTCATTCATTCATTCATTCATATATATATATATATATATATATATATATATACACACACACACACACACACACACACACACATATATATATATAATAATAATTAGAGAGACTGGATAGCATAATAGAGCAGCTGGATAGTGCAATGGTTAGAGTATCACCCTTTGATGTGGGAGCCCAGGGTTCGAATCCTGACTGGTATCTATGTTACCAGTAGGGGTCCTTGGACAAAGACCCCCTAATGCTTCACCTGCCTACCTTGGATATGAGAGTGACACAAACTAAGTCATGCCAGCTCGGACGTTGCCCGGATTAACAAGGTCCACGTTAGATGTTGGGGACATCTGACAATAAGTGGGCTACTGGAACAAACCTTACATGGACAAGACAAGAGAAACTGGAATTGATGGAATGTTACAACAGTAGACCTAATGAGAGGGGATATATGAAATGTATGAGGGAACTGTGGATGGACAGAAGACCTACATCCACACTGAGAAACAGCTAGTTACCCAACGTTTCAACATAGTGAAGAGGAAGCTGCTCTCGCAACTTGAGATATACCGACTACATATTACATCCCAGACTCAAAAAGACCTAGAAGAGCAACTGGATGTGCAGCCCACACCTGAAGCTGGAACATCACTGCTACCCACTCCATTACAGAGCACAGCAGCTGATATGAGGCAAAAGATCATGGATACACTAGTATCTATACTACAGTCAACCCTTGAGACTGATTACCAAGGCTCAGTGGAGAAGTATCATCAGATAGTATGCTAGAAGATGCCAATAGAGCCCTCACAACAAGCCCTACTACCACCATCACTCAAACCAATGAACTGGTATACACTACAGCCATTGTAATCCTGGAGATGCCTGGCTACATGATCAAGAAGAACAGCAGTACATACCTTCCTTGGAAAATGAGGTTGGAGGCTAAGATCAAGGCAACTCAGAGAGATGTTAGTCAACTGGTGAAACTATAAAAGAGTGTGGAAATTAAGGATAAGACTCAGCTACTGAAAAAATACAAGGGCTTAACTCCATCTGAAGCCTAGAGACTGCTAAACAAAGGCTCACAGCACTGGCTACCAGGCTAAGCTGATACCCTAGAGAAACAGAGGCCAAGAAGATAAATGCTCTGTACTCCCAACTGCAGTGCAACAACACAGTGACAGCAGAGCCACCAACAGCAGAAACTGAACAGAACTGGAAGGACATATGGGG